TTTAAGGTTTCATTATAATAATTTATTTCACCAGAGCCCTTTTAAGGGAAACTGGATCACCAGATAATACTTCCGAAAGATGAAATGAAAATTCATACTTTTGACGGGTAGTATTAAGTTTATGTAATTTAACAGAGAGTGTAGCGAGGAGTGGTGTGAGAGACACGGTCGTGTTTAGAGAGGGTTTATTTTAACATTTCTTTCAATCATACTTAGTATTGGGGGAAGAGGGACCAGACCTTGACCTATTTAAACGGTTAACTTAACGGAAGTGAATATATTGAAATGGGAGGGGAGAAGAGAGAAAAAGAAAAAAGAAAGAAGAAGTAAAGAGACAGAAGCTGTAATTAGGTTTTACGTCGGAAAAAGAAAGGGTGGTATATTTTTAGGAATTTATGTAAAAAAATAAATTTTAATGTTTGATAGCAATTTAAATGTTAAAAAAACGCGAAAAAATTAATTTGATGCTTGCTAGCCATTTAAATATTTAACTCTTTTACAAATAATTTAGGGATTTAATATAACTTAAGTACTGTATTTATTAACACATTCATAGAGAACGCATTAAAAGAATTTTTTAAAAATATAACAGTTTACTGATAGTAATCTTTTAATATTAAAACAGACTGGCACCGCGTGTTGACTTTAATATCCAATTTTATATTTAAATACGCTCTCTACCGGATATCAAACACTTTAATCAATAAATGAAGTATACCTTAAATATATCTATCAATCACCACATATATATATATATATATATATATCAGTGGCGACTCTAGCCTATTTTTGCTACTCGTTATTCCCCCTCTGCTAACTTCAGTTCCCAACCCGTGGTCCGTGGACCCAAAGTAAGTCATCATAGTTGCTATTGCGTGATTCTCCATTGTATAGCACAGATTGACTAACGTACCTTGCATGGTGGTTTTTTTGTAAACAATCAAGTTACTATATAATTTGTAGTCTTGTTAATACAGTAGATAAGTTTTTTTTTCCTTTCAAAAGTATAGAAGAAAAGAGAAGATGTTCATTACTATGACGAGAAAAATATCTTTATTAGAAAAAAGAAATTGATGACAATGACAACTAACCAGGTTAGCAATTAAGTCCACAACTCTCCAGGTCATTTGTCTCATGGAATTATAAAATAATTAAATGATTGATTTTTTATTAGCACTTCACAATCATTTTTTTTTTATTAAGGAATGGTTTATTCGTGAATTTTGAATCATAGAAATCTACGAAAAATACGGTTTGTATGTCATTTTATATTAATATTAAGAAAAACCCTGAAACCTCGGAACCTTCGTAGAATTCCGTAGTAGTACGTAAATACTTTTGTAATTTTTTTCATAAAGATTCTGTATGTAACTTTTTTTGCTGCATTATTTCACAGATTTACTCGCACATAACCAGTCAATGTCATTAAACCATTTGGATTGGAACGAACGAGTTCTAACCTTATTCACCAATAAAGGAGTTGGGCGCCCAACTTTGATAATTTCTCGCTTCTCGGCTACATTCCTCTGGCCAAACGATTTATTTTTCAGGTCTAACACAATATCCATTTCCATTATATCTAATTTTAAATCCAGATCATTAACAGCAAATGCAGTACAAATTAGCCCAAGTGACGTTATACGCAAAATACAGGAACTTCAAAATGTAAATTCCATCTGATGAATCTTGAAACATATGAATCTTGAAACATATGATATCTTGACCAGTTGAAGTTATCCGTGGAAACACTGAGAACATTGAAAATCTTAATTTTATCCAAAAATTCTAAGATACAAAGAATTCGTAAATAAAGTCTGTAATAAAATTGAATGTAGTGAAGCGACTGAAATATTTTCGGCAACTGAAGTAATGTTCTCCAAAAACGGCAATTAAATTTTCACATAGAATAAAAGGTAATATTGATGAATAAAGTTGGGTTTATAGCTGTGAAATGATGGATGCAGCAAAAAAAGTGACATACAGGACCTTTATGAAAAAAAATTACAAAAGTATTTACGTACCACTACGGAATTCTACGAAGGTTCATTGGTTTGAGGGGTTTTCTAAGTATTAATATAACATGCCTTAAAACCCGTATTTTTCGTAGATTTCTATGATTCAAAATTCACGAAAAAAAACATTCCTCAATAAAAAAAAAAACAAATTCACTCTTATTCAAAACCTGTTCTTTATTAATTAATTAATGAAACAATAACTTCATCACTGATATTTACAATATAAATAAACGTGGTTATGTTTACAAACATCTATTCGTACTACTACTACTACTACTCTATCTCTCTTTCTCTCTCGGTCTCTCTCTCCCTTTCCAAGACAATCATCAGCAGTCAATATGTGCTAATTGTTCTGAGCACGGTATTTCGACTTGATTTTGCCACCATTGGCTACAGCCAAAAGCGAGATTTCTCTAACATTACTTGTTATTATAAGCTTTTCTTGTGCTTGGCACGGATTGCGCGTGTTCAACATTATAGCCGATATTATGGGATGTTCAATAGATCTGACGGTGGCCATCCGTTCAAAACAGCATCGTTGTATTATTCCCAGATATATTTATGAACTTTTGGCTACTTAGTTATCGAAACTTGAATAGATACGTAATTTAATTGAGATCAGCCTAAGTATGTTTGCTTGAAATTAATGGATGATTTTAATCCATTTTGAATAACATTGACCGAGTTATTGGTCGTGCCGGGCACGAAGTAGCACTAGTCCCATCTCCGCCCTGATATATATATATATATATATATATATATATATATATATATATATATATATATACATATATAAAAATATGGACTAACGATTGCGTATAAGTATGAAACAGACTGGCACCGCGTGTTGACTTTAATATCCAATTTTATATTTAAATACGCTCTCTACCGGATATCAAACACTTTAATCAATAAATGAAGTATACCTTAAATATATCTATCAATCACCATATATATATATATATATATATATATATATATAAATATGGACTAACGATTGCGTATAAGTATGAAACAGACTGGCACCGCGTGTTGACTTTAATATCAATTTTATATTTAAATACGCTCTCTACCGGATATCAAACACTTTAATCAATAAATGAAGTATACCTTAAATATATCTATCAATCTCCATATATATATATATATATATATATATATATATATATATATATATATATATATATAAAAAATATGGACTAACGATTGCGTATAAGTATGAAACAGACTGGCACCGCGTGTTGACTTTAATATCCAATTTTATATTTAAATATAACCGGATATCAAACACTTTAATCAATAAATGAAGTATACCTTAAATATATCTATCAATCACCATATATATATATATATATATATATATATATATATATAAAAATATGGACTAACGATTGCGTATAAGTATGAAACAGACTGGCACCGCGTGTTGACTTTAATATCCAATTTTATATTTAAATATAACCGGATATCAAACACTTTAATCCATAAATGAAGTATACTTTAAATCTATCAATCTCCATATATATATATATATATATAAAAAAATTAACGATTGCGTATAAGTATGAAACAGACTGGCACCGCGTGTTGACTTTAATATCAATTTTATATTTAAATATAACCGGATATCAAACACTTTAATCCATAAATGAAGTTTTTCTATCAATCTCCATATATATGTAATATATTCATTTCGATTATAGGTGCATTTAATTTATAATTATAATATAATTATATTTGTTTTTTTTTTCGTATATATTCATAATTATATATATATATATATATATATATATATATATATATATATATGTATATATAAATAAAAAGAAAGAACAGTAAGATATATAATCCGGTGTTCTTATAGATATTTTTATTTTTACAAAATAGTGCTTAATGTAAATTTACAGAGCATTAATATTATAAATTGATTGAGGATGAAATGGAACAAATGTCTTTAATTTAATTACAAAATTAAATTCGGAGCCTTTAGCTTCCATTTTTGAAACATGGTTAGAACTGTGTAGCGAACAAAAAAACATATTTTAAATAAATCAATTTATAATATATATATATATATATATATATATATATATATAGTGCGGCAGAAATATTTCCCACATTTTAAAGGTCGATAAAAAAGAACAAGTTAACTACTATTAAAAAAAAGTTATTTCATTGATGTTTAAACAAAACCCCTACAATTTTTATTCCTTGAGTTTTAAATATGACACTCGAATTGGGTACGTACATTTGGAAACGATTCTCTAAAATATTTCCATCACTCGGAGAAGCGTTTCTGGCTGTATTTCTGTCACATTTTGGCGAGTAACATTCTTTAATTATTCTATGGTTGCTGGTCGATGTTTGTTGATCTCAGCTTTCACGCAATCCCAGAGAAAATAATCACAAGAGCGACATCTGGCGAACGTGCAAGTTATCGTATGTCACCGCGTAAGGAAATCAAATGTCCTGGAACAACTCTCTCGAAGTTTCCATTGATCATCTCACTGTGTGTCGGAGGACACCATCCTGTTGAAACTATACATCCCAAAGTTTATTGGTTCAACAAATTTCAGTAGCATCTCCACATAGCGGTCAGATGTTACTGTAATCGAATTATCTAATAAACTAAATTTCGCAACTACGCACCACACAGACACTTGTTATGTGTAGACGTATTTTATGCAGTTGTCTAGGGTTATTTCCCGTCCGAAAAATTGTGCTTATTGTCCAGCCAGAGATATGAAAATGAACTTCAACACATGTGGGAAGAACAGCATTTGCAGGAATATTTTGAAGGATGTCGTCACAACATGCCATACGATTTTTCCAAATGTGTTCTTGCAGTTCCTGTAAAAACTATTGATTTGGATAGATGGTATTTCAGTACAGTGTTTAAAATTCTTCTGACTGCTCGATCAGACAAATAGAAAGCAGACGACTGTTTACGGGCTGAACGCGTAGAATGTTGCAGAACAGACTCACAGCCTGGACATTTTCTGGAATTGGAGTGCTTCGCAGTCTTTCAAGTGGCTTTCTTTTAAGCGCCGAACCTGTGACACTGACATTTTCATTCCATAGCAATATCGATTTTCTATCCAGAAAACCATCATTCCGACGTAACATGAAATGAGCACGAAAAAATTCTCTGTGTTGTAATTACAGATTCACCACGATTAAAAAAAAAGTTTCAACAGCTAGCGCAACGGTTCTAGTCATGATGGTATCTGGTAAAAATGGTAAGACATTAGCGTGATGAAGATAACAACACGCAGGGTGCAATTTATAATGTGTCAGGTATATCTACTGTATACATATGTAATTTATGTTATATATATATATAACAGCACATGAGAACTGATTATAGTGGTGAAGGTTTCGTGCAGGACCATCCCCACTTTTTAAAGGGCCGAATACAGAGACCTGGTGCACTACATGCCACAAGGTCCCCAAATGACCCTCCGCAGGTTTTGAATTCAGAGTTGTCCTTCTCCTAGAACAGTTGCCATCCAAGGCTATAGAACCCAGTCTGTCCTGCTATTTAGCTATATCTGGAGGGAGAAGAAGAGGATTCACACCTTTCCCAAGTGAATGTAATGGATTCGACTGGAATTTGAACTCGGCTCTCCGATTCCTCAGCCCAAGCCGATATCCATTACTCCACCGTGCCTTTTTTTTTATTTATATATATACCTAATAAATAGCCATAATTGTGGTACTATATTCCGTGTGGACTCATTTACCATTTTTAATAAGTCCCACTCGAATTACCACTTGAAAGTGTTAGGCCATTTATATTTTATGGTTGAAGCCCTCTCTGCGTAAACAGGTATTCGTATTGGGTGTCCAACTAATTTCTATCTAAGCAATAATTTTTTCAATGTATATTGTCCATCTTTTTTGTGAGAATTATGTTTAATTTATTAACCTCGATTTAGCTCTGTTGGGCAAGGTTCAGAAACCGGTTAGCTAGCCCGTTTTTCAGTTTTTACTTTTTATCTATTATCATCATGAGTGGTAATAATATATATATATATATATATATATATATATATATATATATATATATATATATATATTTGTTTTTTTTGTTTCATATTTTTTCTGTTAAAGTCATAATAACTGAAGTCTACAACAGCGGTGATATACTGGAAGACCTAAGTAGATCTATTTTCCTAGCCCTTCCTAAGAAGCCAGACGCAAACATATATGATCTCCACCGGATAATCAGTCCAATAAGCCACATACGAAACTTTCTCATGCGAATTCTAATGAATGGATCATCAATTAGACTGCTTAAATAATAGTACCACTTAACATACAGATACAAAGAATATAATTAAGTTTTTTTTATAAAAATCAAAAACATTAACTATAAGCAAGATGGATTTCTCTCTTAGAAACATTATAAATACACAACACCAGTCGACCAGTAACAGAAAATTAATTTGATTATCTACTCTAAAAAAAAAAAATTAAAACAGCACACCTCATCTGCAAGATCTAGTTCCAGAGAACCAATATTATTTATAAATTATCATGTCCCTTATGGAACTGTGTTCCTGATGAAACCAAATTTATGAATAATTATATTGCACATATTACTACATGAATATCCCGAGGACTCACGTTACATCTTGTTGAGATGTTGAGTGTTTCCCCGTGCGTGTATTGAAATAAGGACAAACACATACGTAGAGAAAAATACTGGTATATCTGAAGAGGTATTTACAACAGAGAGATTAGTAGTCAAACGAACGCAGGTTAGTCAGTAACAATCAGAAAGAGTATAAAGTCCAACTGTATCTTCCGGTAGAGAGACGGAAATGTGATGGTCACCTGATCTCCCCAGAACTCTATAGAACTGTCCTATTAGTAGTAGAGAGATCAGTCCATTCTGATGAGAAGGTGGGTGCGCCCCAACACATCTCTTTGACCATAGCTCAATTACGATTCATTAAAACCTACAAAACTCCATCGGCAACCTAATCGTAAAAAATACAAATAGAAAAGCTTCATCCACATGGAAAGATGGCTAAAAATAATGGAAATGTTAATAATAAAAAAAAAGTAAAGCCAACACTCAATAAAATTTTGTATGAACTACGGCCACAATGTACTGTCCGTGTTCAGACAATAACCTCTTTCGATACATACATACATTTTCAATTAAAAGAAAATCCTTGACAATGGCTAATAGAATTGCTGAAAGCTTTTGATTTTATATTACATTTGTACAGTTTCTACACACTTTAGCTACAGAAAAGAAAAACTTAACTACAAGAAAACCTGAATAAATAGCTTAAGCACGTTATCTTGTAAGTCGTCCTCAATGAAACTTGTATAAAAGGGGGATTACTGGCCAAATACAGACTTATACAGACACACACACACACACACACATATATATATACATATATATGTTTGTGTGTGTTTTGTGTGTGTGTGTGCGTGCGTGTTTATGTGTGTGTGTGTGTGTGTGCAATTCATAATCATAGAACAAATTGTTGTTAATATGTAAATAATATATAACACTCAGTGCAAGGAAAGACTGACAGTACTTGAAGCTATTATTGTAACAAATAATTAGAATTAATTCAAATATCTTTTAACCCAGAAAACATTATTTTAAAATGTGTGTAAAATTTTAATACGTGTATAAATTTATACAATACATATATATATATATATATATATATATATATATATATATATATATATATATATATATACAAAGAAATAATCACACATAGAATCAATCAGAAGTATTAATGCGATTATTGGCGACATCCATCGCTAGAAAACATAATATATGCATTAAAATACTGTTCACCCATAGTGCGAGTTGATCCTCGTCGATAAACTTGTTGTCTGTAGTTTTCAGTTTATTTGATGTTAAAATGCTAGTACTTACGAATAGTCTTCTATTCATCATCAGGCATGTGTTTTTTTTTCCTTATAAAATCAAAAACTTGGAGACGATATACTTGTATGTCAACCGAAAGATGTTTTTTGAATATCTGCTATTATTGACGATTGTGTAAGATCTCGAAACGTGCAAAGACGCAACGCTAAGTATTTCAAAATTTTAAGTGAGAATTTTATTTAAATATTTCTTGTGATGTGTTAAATCCACGTATTCTATTTTTACAAGTGTATTCAGTTTTTATGTCATGAACTAAGTATATAGTTCAATAATATAGTGTAATGTCTTAGTAGTAGTTTTTTTTATAGGAATATATATATGTATATATATATATAGCAAAATGAGAAGCCAAGTAATATAACACTAATCAATCAGGACACTCATTAGAAAACTGTAAATGCTTATTGATAGATTCTGATTTCAGTTCCACATACACACGCAGAAAAAAAGAAAAATACTGGATTTTAAAATTAAATACATATAAACTAGGGTTAAATAAAGACTTGGGTATTTTAAATCTTTATAAATATTTCAATAGTTAAACATGTTTTAGATATAGTTCAAATTTTTATTTTCATTTTTTTAAACATCTAAAATATTATTACAGTTAGATTTACGTTAAGAATATTCAAACACAGTGACGTTCCATATCACGTAACGTCCGCATCTCGCGACGGACGCTACTTATAAACAAACAGTTATTTCTGAAGAAAGATTGAAATCAATCTGAAATATCAAATATATATATATAAATAAATAAATAAATACTTTCATAAAAAACATTCTTTTTTATTTTCAACTTTTCTATATATATATATATATATATATATATATATATATATATATAAGTTTGTTTTCTGATTCATTTTTTTCTGTTAAAGTCATAATAAATGAAGACTACAACAGCGGTGATATACTGGAAGACCTAAGTAGACCCATTGTCCTAGCAATTCCTAAGAAGCCAAACGCAAACGAATGTAAACTTCACCGGAAGGTCAGCCCAAATGAGCCATATACGAAACTTCATCATCCGAATTCTAATGAATAGAGTGCTCAAACCAGAAATAAAACAATACCGTGGGATTCGTCGAAGACACTAAAACAGGTATTGCAATATTTATTCTCAGAATGATAATAGAAAGAGCAATACAAATGAAGAAGGATGAGTACCTGTGTTTTATAGATCATATAAAAACCTTTGATAAACAAGTGTTGGAGCTGCTAGGTAAACTTGACATATTTGGAAAGTGTTAGGAGAAGCTGATTTACTTTCCCACTAAAGAACGATAACTCAAAATATAACTGAGTTATTTCCCCTTTCTCGGAAGTCGAACGCAGCACTTCTAAATTAAACATGATAACAAGATGACGCGCACATGCAATTCATGGTTTAAAACCAATCCTTGCTTTTCTCAGATGTTTAAGCCTTTTTATTATATAAATATATATATATATATATATATATATGTGTGTGTGTGTGTGTGTGTGTGTGTGTGTGTGTGTGTGTGTGTGTGTGTGTGTGTGTGTGTGTAAATAAATATAAATATAAATAAATATATATATATATAATTTTTATATATCATATTTTACATACTACTTATTAAAAATATATATATCATAGAGCTAACATATTTGGTTGGATAGATGTGAGTTTGTGACCCTGGGTTTCACGCTTTTGCGATCGTCACACAAACTGATTAATTTTTAAAAATTTTGGGTTTATGTAGATTGCGTGTATTGGTGTTATTATGGAAGTGGGGTGGAAACGTCGCCGTGATGTCATCGTGCTAACGCAAACAACGATGTATGTTCATGCGCCCAATGAAGTACGCAGACACACATACACACTTGGTCGTCCGTCGGGACTCAAACATATATAAACATATGTGGACAGTTTCGGATATGACATATGTATGTATACGGGTGGTGTTGGGTCTATACATACGCATTTGTATGATGAAATTCCAACATTGGAAGTGTAGAGGAAATTTCTCGTGAATGTCTCGTGAATGTATACATGTCATTTTTCTATCTTTCCACTAAAAGGTGTTTATTTGTTATATTTAAAGCTGGTTATTTGTTTGTTTTTGATGACTGTGTATATGTAACAGGTAGAAATTCGGTTTGTAATCCTTATTGGTTATTTTATATGGTGATATTTAATATTTAATATGCTGGGCGAGAGGGTAGTTTATGTTAATAATTATAGCGGGTCTATAAGATAGTAGATGTGATGTGATAGTAATGTTGTAAGGGATTGGAGACAATGATAATATAAGTAGCTAATAGTTATTGTAAAATGGTAAAAGTTATTAGTAATGGTGGTGGGAGAATGATAAAACCATAAATGTAGTTATTGTGGTGGTAGCTTGAACTAAAAAGTGGTTGTTGGTGTTTTATTTTATTTTTGTTATATGTATTAATTTATTTTGGTATAGATCCTGATTTTATATATATATATATATATATATATATATATATATATATATATATATATATGTGTGTGTGTGTGTGTGTGTAAAAAAAAAAAGGATGCATTTTTTTGAAATTAATCATCCGACATCTTTATTAATTAAATGTTATTTTTAGTGAATACTAATATTTGAATAGACGCTCCGTGTATTTATTTAACAGTATATATATTTTATTTTTGATAACCGGCTTGAATATGCAAAAATCTTATTAAGGAAAATATGAGCTCACTGGCAGGATTCGAAACAAGAGAAACATGTTATAAAACCTGTCATGCTTTGTCCTCTTGGCTAAAAGCAAATCTGAATAGTGCCTTTAAAAATATATTTTGTCCTGACTCTTGAAATACACATCTGTTTAGTTTACTATACTAACAAAAAGCAATTTAGAAAGAAATGGATGGAATTTTTTGATTTATTAATCCAACAGATTTTTATATATTAAACGTTATTTTTAGTCGATACTCATATATCAGTAGACGCGCATTGAATAGCATGGATAATTTAGAAGAAATACTTTCTTGTTTTAAATTTTACTTACGGCAAGTTTGGCAGCACACACGAATACGTATCTTTCGATGTTCGTCTTCAAGAGCAATGCATTTTTAGGCAACCATCGAGATATAAAGCCGCCTACATCCAGTCATAATAACTACCAAAGTCGCCCTTCAATCAAATGTACTAATGTCTTTAAATTCCCTCTGCTTGCCTCTGCCTCTATCTTCAATAATGGCTAGTCGTACATGGTTCAAGACTATTTTTCCCTTAATTCGTCATGGCATGGCGGCCATGGTTTTATATTTTGAGCTCTTCAATTTCAAATTTACTTACGTATTGCCTCTTCAAAGATTCAATGGACGTCGATCGTCCAATGAAATATGGATATTGCTTGAATGAAATTGAAGCTGTTACTGCTATATCGTAATTTAAAGAGGACCGTATATTAAAAGAAAAAAATACACACGGGAGAAAGTTATTCTAAAAGAAAGAAAGAAAGAAAGAAACAAACAAACAAACAAAACAATATTGTTCGAAAATGAAGAAGAGAAAAAGGAAGGAAAAAGTAAGCAGTGAAGGAATGCAAAAAAAAAAAAGAAAACATGATAAATGAAGAAATGAGACATATTTATGAAGGCAAAAAAGATCGACAATACCGGAGAAAGAAAGAAAGAAAGAAAGAAAGAAAGAAAGAAAGAAAGAAAGAAAGAAAGAAAGAATAAACGCGTAACAAAAAAGAATAAGATGATAGCGAAAGAAATAAATAAAGAAAGACAAAGAAATTTAGTAGTGGGAAAAAGAGTTAGAAAGCAAGATGAAAAAAAGAAATATTTCATAGGATATAAAGAAAGAAGAGAGCGGTTGTTATCAAAGAAAGAAAGAAAGAAAGAAAGAAAGAAAGAAAGAAAGAAAGAAAGAAAAAAAAGAAAAAAAAAAAAGAAAGAAAGAAATGGAGGAGGAAGAAGTGGAAGAGGGAGAAATGGGAAAGAAAGAAAGAAAAAAGAAAGAAAGGAAAAAAAAAAAGAAAGAAAGAAAAAAAAGAAAGAAAGAAATGGAAGAGGAAGAAAAGGAAAAAGAAAGTTGGTGTCAAAGGAAGGAAGAAAGAAATGGAAGAAGGGAAGAAGAAATGGAAAAGAAAAGAAAGAAAAGAAAAGAAAAAGAAAGAAAGAAAGAAGGAAAGAAAGAAAGAAAGAAAAAGAAAGAAAGAAAAGAAAGAAAAGAAATGGAAGAGGAAGAAATGGAAGAGGAGAAATGGAAAAGAAAAAGAAAGAAAAGAAGAGTGTGTTGGTGTCAAAGAAAGAAAGAAAAGAAAGAAAAGAAAGAAAGAAAGAAAATGAAGAGGAAGAAATGGAAGAGGAGAAATGGAAAAGAAAAGAAAGAAAGAGAGTGGTTGGTGTCAAAGAAAGAAAGAAAAGAAAGAAAAGAAAGAAAAAAAAGAAAAGAAAGAAAAAAAGAAATGAAAGAAATGGAAGAGAATGGAAAGAAAGAAAGAAAGAAGAGGAAAGAAAGAAAAGAAAAAAGAAAGAAAAGAAAAAGAAAGAAAGAAAGAAAGAAATGGAAGAGGAAGAAATGGAAGAGGAGAAATGGAAAAAAAAGAAAAAAAAGAAGAGTGGTTGGTGTCAAAGAAAGAAAAGAAAGAAAGAAAGAAAAGAAAAGAAAGAAAAGAAAAAAAGAAATGGAAGGGAAGAAATGGAAGAGGGAGAAATGGAAAAGAAAGAAAGAAAAAGAAGAAGTGGTTGGTGTCAAAGAAAGAAAAAAAGAAAGAAAGAAAGAAAAAAGAAAAGAAAGAAAGAAATGGAAGAAAGAAATGGAAGAGGAAGAAATGGAAAAGAAAGAAAAGAAAGAAGAGAGTGGTTGGTGTCAAAGAAAGAAAGAAAGAAAGAAAAAAAAAGAAAGAAAGAAAGAAATGGAAGAGGAAGAAATGGAAGAAATGGGAAAAAAGAAAGAAAAGAAAGAAAAGAAATGGAAAAGAAAGAAAAAATGGAATGGAAAGAAATGGAAAGAAGAAAATGAAAGAAAGAAAGAAAGAAGAGAAAGAAAGAAGAAAGAAAGAAAGAAAGAAAGAAAGAAAGAAAAGAAATAAAAGAAAGAAAGAAAAGAAAGAAATGGAAGAGGAAGAAATGGAAGAGGAGAAATGGAAAAAAAAAAGAAAAAAAAGAAGAGTGTGGTTGGTGTCAAAGAAAAGAAAGAAAGAAAGAAAGAAAGAAAGAAAGAAAGAAAGAAATGGAAGAGGAAGAAATGGAAGAGGGAGAAATGGAAAAGAAAGAAAGAAAGAAGAGAGTGGTTGGTGTCAAAGAAAGAAAGAAAGAAAGAAAGAAAGAAAGAAAGAAAGAAAGAAAGAAATGGAAGAGGAAGAAATGGAAGAGAGAGAAATGGAAAAGAAAGAAAGAAAGAAAGAAAGAGTGGTTGGTATCAAAGAAAGAAAGAAAGAAAGAAAGAAAGAAAGAAAGAAAGAAATGAAAGAGGGAGAAAAAGAAAGAAAGAAAGAAGAAATGACAAAAACAGAGCAGGACGAATGTGACAGAAAGAATTTGTGATTTCCACATCATCCTATTTTTTTTTTTATTTTTATGACTTCTCGGTATTTTTTTTTATTCTAGTTCCTCCATCAATTTCCACAAACTTGTCAAGTAGCATTTGTCTATCTATTTTTTTTCTTCAGTACATGAACAACCCTTGTTTCTACAGCGTCCAATTAGTTTTTCGACATATATGGATAGATAGATATGAATGCACTGAGATAGATAGATAGATAGATACGAATATTCTATAATAGATAGATAGATAGATAGATAATGTTATCTTATATATAAAATATTCATTATTTACATTATTAGGACTATTGTCCTCATCTTTGTCGCCATATTTGTCACAACGTTTCGGCCGTTGTACGCTCCGGCCTTCTTCAGGTGGTTGGAATGTCGAACTGAACCCTTTATTTCGCTCACTAGGGTAGACTGTTCTATTTCCACGTGCCATGTTTGATGGATGTCAGTTATCAGTTATCTCCTGCTAATTTTCCCTCTGAAATTTCTCCACTGCCTTAACCGGGTATTGAACTCACACTCTTTGGGTCCTGTCACTGGATCTAACCAACGCCTTTATCCACTGTGCCATCCAATTTGTCAGATATCTCCTGTTAATTCCTCCCCTCACATTCCAACCACCTGAAAAAGCCCGGTGCGTACAACGGCCGAAACGTTGTGATAAATATGGCGACAAAGATGAGGACAATAGTCCGAATAATGTAAATAATGTACCTAATACCTCATGTCAGAAATATTGTTGTAAGCGCTGTACTTTCATTCGGCCTATTTTTCTCATCTTTTGTAATGTTTTTCTCGATAATTTATTCAGTGTTTTCTTTTTCCTACCTTTTGGTTGAGCATATTGTGAAATGTTAAACCTTGATCTTGGAGTTCGTTATATTTCATACAGCCAGAATCTTGAATTCTCACTTCGAAATTGCATTCCCATACCATCTATATATTCTTCTAAAGTGTTGTTTTTTTCTGCAATAAATTTAATCTTACATGTTCTTTCCTCAAATAAATTTCCTCTCAGAAATGACCAAAAATTTGCACATGGCTCTTAGTGTCTTACCACTAACTTCCTGTTTTTCTGAAACGAGAAGAAATTGACTCGATACTCCGAATGATAATGACTTTTCTCAAAGTTACAGAAAGTATTTGAACCAAAAATAAATACACCAATGGTCTGACCAACTCATGGAATGATAATGATTTCTCTCAAAATTACTGAATGTCTCAAGTAAACATTATACTATCGATAGCATTATGGACAGTTTATCTCGTAATCTTTCTAAAGTATATTTTGCTGAATTTACTTCGTCTTTTTCTCTACTCGCAGGCATTTGCTATTTTTTTCCTTTTGCTTATTTTAACTTTCATGTCAAATTTATTCCCTTCTTTGTAATGTATTTTTAATTTTATTTTTGCAGATATTTGGTCTGTCGTTTTCTCCCTGCATTTGCTTCTTATCTTTTGAGTCAGTTCATCTTTGCGAATCAGCTTAGACCAGAATTGGCGAATAATCACCATATCTGGGCTGGATCTACTTAATTCCTCAGGTTCCAAATTTTCCACGATTTCAAAATCGGTTACGCTGTCTTGTGGAGTTTTGACATATTTTCCAACCAGCAGCCTCAGTCCCAGAAACGAAACATTGCAATCCTATCGCTATTTCCATGGCAAATGTTCGTATGAGATCCATTCTTCAGTTCCACCAATTCAGACGTTTACAACTAAGACCCACCATGCGAAGCCGACATCATTCCTCCGATTTTAGTTGGAAGCAGAAAGTTGCACTCAGAATTTTTTTCCAGAACCGTTTACCTCTGGCACAAACTCCCTTGATGATACTTCCACGAACGCTATAATCTCAATCACTTCAGTTAAACGACAAATGTTATCTAACATTAATATCTTAAAAAATTTCAACGCGTATAGATAGATATAAAGGCAATTACAGTGATAGAGAGATAAGAGAGAGATGAAAAGTGATAGATACATATGAAAACTGAGACAGAGAGAGAGCGAAAAATGAAAAGACAGATAGATAGATAGATAGATAGATAGATAGATATGAAAGAGATAGATATGGAAGACATAGATAGATAGATAGATAGATAGATAGATAGATAGATAGATAGATCGATAGATAGATAGATAGACATATATGAAAGAGATAGATAGATATAGACGACATAGATAGATAGATATGAAAGAGATAAATATGGAAGACATAGATAGATAGACAGATATGGAAGACATACAAATTGATAGATAGACAAATATAAAAGAGATAGACAGATATGCAAGACAGAGATAGATAGATAGACATATATGAAAGAGATAGATAGATATAGACGACATAGATAGATAGATAGATAGATAGATAGATAGATAGATAGATAGATAGATATGAAAGAGATAGATATGGAAAGATAGATAGATAGATAGATAGATAGATAGATAGATATGGAAGACATATAAATAGATAGATAGATAGACAAATATAAAAGAGATAGACAGATATGCAAGACATAGATAGATAGATAGATATGAACGAGATAGATAGATATAGAAGACATAGATAGATAGATAGATAGATAGATAGATAGATAGATATGAAAGAGATAGATATGGAAGACATAGATAGATAGATAGATAGATAGATAGATAGATAGATAGATAGATAATGAACAAATTGAGATAGATAGATAGACAGACAGACAGATAGACAAATATGAAAGAGATAGATAGATAGATATGGAAGACAGATAAATAATGCTATCTCATGTATTGAATATTGTTTAAATTCTTCCCGATATATTGTTGTAAGTGTTGTTCAGAATTTTCTTCGGCGTATTTTTTTCACCTTATTTTTCTTTTTTTTTGTTTTTCTCGATGATTTATTCAGTGTTTCCTTTTTTCCTCTCCATACTTCACTGTTGGTTACGCATATTATGAAATGTTGATCCTTGATCTTGGAGTTTCTGCTTTTTCTTCTCTTATATTTGGTTCAGCCAGAATCTGGATTTCACACTTCGAAATTGCATTCCCATACCACCTATATATTCTTCTAAAGTGTTTTTTTCTGCAATAAATTTAATCTTACATGTTCTCTCGTCATCTAAACTTCCTTTCATAAATTACCAAAAATTTAGAACACAGTTTCAAATTAACTATTCCCGATAGATTTCGCATTCTTTTGCACGTGGCTCTTTCGTAGGGCTACGAATTTGATCTGCTGATGTTGTTGAATGGATACCAGAAGTATTGAAACAAAATGGCTATTTTTGTAGTGATTTCATAACATATTTATGTTGTAATTTTCGAATAAATAATGATATATATATATATATATATATATATATATATATATATATATATATATATATTAATAAAAATATATATATATATATATATATATATATATTAATAAAAATAGGTATATATATATATATATTAATAAAATAGGTATATATATATATATATATATATATATATATTAATAAAAATAGGTATATATATATATATATATATATATATATATATATATATATATATATATATATACCCAAGTATATAATTAGTATATACGGAATGAATTCCAATAACAAACAATTACTATTCTTAAAGAGTGCTCAATACAAAGTAGAGTAGATATAATTATTATTTATAAAAAATTATAACATAAGTATGTTATAAAATCACTACAAAAATAGCCATTTTGTTTCAACACATAAATGTCTTATCAAGTGATGATGTTGAAAAAATAAAATAATCTAAATAATTATTTTTTTTCAACATCATCACTTGATAACACACAGAGTGTGTTGAAACAAAATGGCTATTTTTGTAGTGATTTTATGACATACTTATGTTATAATTTTATAAATAATAATTATATATATATATATTAATTATGTATATTAACAAATATACGCATATATATATATATATAATTTTCGAATAAATAATGATATATATATAGATATATTAATAAATATACTTATATATATATATATATATACATATATATATATTTATTTATTAATATATATATATTAATAAATATACGCATATATATATATATATATATATATATATTTTCTACATACGACGTGTGAAAGTATGTCCTATACCCTGTCTTCATCTGCCGCACATCAGGAAATGTAACACAGTTTCGGTGGGAAATTGATTTAAACCGAGGTGAAAGGTCAGGACCAATATTACTGCAAATTATTTGCATTTTATCAAGAATCGCTAAAAACTTACGACACAGTGCCTGAAATGCATTAGAACCGAATTCAATAATCTAACAGATCGCTTGCCATGCACACTCCATAATAAGCATCTGTAAAAAAAAAAAAAGGAAAAAAAAAAAGTAAGAAACAATCAAAACCTAATCTGGTCGCTTTAATAAGGCGATTTCCTTAAGCATCGTTTCTGACGATATCTTTTTAAGGCTTCTTGACCTCATCCCACGCACCTGGCACTCATTTTTGTTAATACCATCATTACGAATCGATTGGCCGATTTTCTGTGAGGCAAACATGATAAACAAGCCAAGATTACTGGAAATGTTTGATAAACAATAACGATCAGAAAGATTTAATTGAATAGAAGCCTTATGCTGACAATAAAAAAAGAATCGCTCAAAGCTGATAAGAAAAATGAAAATAAAGAGAGAAAGAAATGCAGATAATATAATAATAGATTCGTTGTTACGAATTGGCGGCGTAGACAGTGAGCAAGAAACAGAGGTTGATATCGATTCCACGGAGAAGGTTCCATCTTGACGATATAATTTTAAATCCTTTCATTTGAATGATGGAGATGTTGAGTCTTTTTAAACAAATAGTTCACCCTCTGAGAAAGGTGATAAAGTCACTCAGAAGGAATAGGTTACTGAGTGTGGAATAATGCGAGATAAGATTATTGAGGAGAGAGCACAGTAAAAGAACAGGCTTCAAAGGAAAATCTTAGTTTTAATAAGATATACGGATGATGAAAATGAGAGAGATAAAAAGAAAGAGAGCCAGATATGAAAAGTCATAGATACATAGATAGATAGATAGATATTTACAGAATGGGATAGATAGATAGATAGATAGATAGATAGATAGATAGATAGATAGATATGTACAGAATGAGATAGATAGATGGATATGAAGTGACTGAGATAGAAGTAACGAAGGATAGAAAAATACATATATAGATATCAGCAAAGACAGAAAGAAAGACAGAAATAAAAAATCATAGGTAGATGGTATGTGAGATAGATAGATAGATAGATAGATAGATAGATAGATACATAGATAGATAATGAACAGGTTAATAGATAGATAGATAGATAGATAGATAGATAGATAGATAGATAGATAGATAATGAACAGGGTAATAGATAGATAGATAGATAGATAGATAGACAGATGATGAACAGGTTAATAGATAGATAGATAGATAGATAGATATGTACAGAATGAGATAGATAGATGGATATGAAGTGACTGAGATAGAAATAACGAAGGATAGAAAAATACATATATAGATATCAGCAAAGACAGAAAGAAAGAAAGAAATAAAAAATCATAGGTAGATGGTATGTGAGATAGATAGATAGATAGATAGATAGATAGATAGATAATGAACAGGTTAATAGATAGATAGATAGATAGATAGATAATGAACAGGGTAATAGATAGATAGATAGATAGACAGATGATGAACAGGTTAATAGATAGATAGATAGATAGATAGATAGACAGATGATGAACAGGTTAATAGATAGATAGATAGATAGATAGATAGATAGATATGTACAGAATGAGATAGATAGATGGAAATGAAGTGACTGAGATAGAAATAACGAAGGATAGAAAAATACATATATAGATATTAGCAAAGACAGAAAGAAAGAAAGAAATAAAAAATCATAGGTAGATGGTATGTGAGATAGATAGATAGATAGATAGATAGATAATGAACAGGTTAATAGATAGATAGATAGATAGATAGATAGATAGATAGATAGATAATGAACAGGGTAATAGATAGATAGATAGATAGATAGACAGATGATGAACAGGTTAATAGATAGATAGATAGATAGATAGATAGATAGATAGATAGATAGATATAAACATACTGAGAGAGAAAGAATGGAGGTAGAAAATTCATACATATAAATATGAACAAACAGAGAACGAGGAGAGAGAAAGAAAAAGAAAAATTCATAGATAGATTTGTGTAGCAATGCCTCTTCAATACATGTTTCGTTGGACAAGACTATCGAGGTTCTTATGTTATTATACAGTAGAATACGTATACGTATATGTATACGTAGAAGTCTTTTCTTTTCTGAAATTCTTCTCACATGAGCCGTGTCCCTTCAAGACGTGAATGATTTTTCCTCAACTATCGTCTTCATCCATGACGATTTTGTCTTGCATTCACTGCCATTTAGGAGGAGTGATTGTTGAAAAACAACGCAAAAATATGTTCTTAATTTCATGGCCTAAGCTGTGGATGATTTTAAAGATATTTGTGTTCTACTTCTCTAATAAATCGTGTGGAATTGCTATTGTAGACGTTCCCAAATCTACAGAATTTCCAAATGTGGCCATGTTCATAATTGATGTTATTAATGGATTCCAACCGACACTGGAATATGGCACATGCAACCCTCACTATGTCCCTTAGGAATAGCCTCATACCTCTCTTTAATCCTGTCGATCAGCTGGCTCTTTGTGTTACAGGCAGTGCAGTTGGTGTCTTTATCGTCTGCACCCCACACATAATAAAATATGGGATTACAATAAGTGGAGTTAGTGGGACAGACATTAGGACCGGTGATGCCGTAAAAAATTATCTGACATCCGCTTCTGTCCCTTCCTGGCCGTGTGGTAGGGAATTGAATCTGGCTGCCATACGTATTGTCTTCCAGCAGCAACCCTTTTCTACCAAGGCTTGATCACGGTGTTCAGCAACTCCACATAGCCATACGAATTGAGCCTGTGACCCTGTTCAAAGGTGTGACGTGGCATGGCATCACACTTACCGCAGATACACACAAATCCCATCAGAGTTTGCGAAAACTTGATCTTCATTACGTATCCAAATGTAAACAAATGACGTCACACATTATGAAATGGACAAAGTCCGACAATTATTTAAAGACATTTTTATGTTTATACATTCTTTTTATAGATACAAATATTTAAAAAAATGCTCTGTTTATAATAAACAGGATTAAACAACATTTACCGGCCTGAATGTCTGAGATTTTCATGAGCAGATATAAATGTACGTGAGAGAATCATGGAAGATTGTCGTTTAAAAACGGTAAAATCGAATGCCTTTATCCATTAATAACAGGAGATAACTGATAACTGTGCCATGTGTTAGATCCAGCGACAAGATCCAAACAGTGTGAGTTCAATACCTGGTTAAGGCAGTGGATAACTTGGAGAGGGGAATTAACAGGAGATAACTGATAACTGGCATCCTTTAAACATGTCACATGGAACTAGAACAGTCTACCCCAGTGAGCGAAATAAAGGGTGAAGTTCGACATTGCAACCACTTGAAGAAGGCCGGAGAGTACACCGGCCAAAACGTTGTAATAACTATGGCGAGGACAATAGTCCGAATAATGTAAATAATGTACATAATACCTCATCTCAGAAATATAGACAGATACTCTTTTAAACGGTTTAATTTCGGCGTCTCTCTTCTTAGTCAACTTTATTCTGCAAAAATTTAAATGCAATACCATTTTTAATTCCTGTTCATTTATTATTTTGTTTCCTTAATAGTGTTTTCTTTCTCTCTGATGCTCAGTAACCACGATACCTCTTTATGGCTTTATTGCTTTGCCTGGGGTAAAATGATTTTAGAAATATGTGTCCGTACTGAACTCTGTTGGCAGAGGAGAGCGAAGGGGAAAGGTTGAGATTACCATGTCGGATGTCTGAGCGACTTGGGGATGGCCGAGTGGGAGTCTCTGGTGAAAACGACGAGACGAGATAAAGAATAACATTGACCGTATCAGAAGGCCCTTTTCTGATCTCCGTTGGGTAATATATTGCTAACTAAAAATGGTCCCAGAACTACTGTGTTCTAATTTAATTGGTGGTTCGCATTTTTGTTAACAAAGCGTCAGTCATTTTGATTGGAAGGTGGTAACTCTATGTCAAACATAATTATTTATTTATGAATAAAAACGACAATAGGAAAACTGGTAATTGCTGACGCGTTTCGTCCAATGTGGACTTTATCAAAGCAAAATACGAAAATGAAATTAAATGAACAAAGTAACTAATAAAAACAAAAACAGAATGTACCTAGCAACTGGAATGTAGAGAAACGCTATTTTCATTTTTTTTTTTTTTTTTTTTTTTTACTGAAAAATAACGTCAGAGATTGTCACGTGTGGAGAATATTGTCATTATATCTGTGTTGATGTATTCAGCCATTTTCTTTCGATTTTATGAATCTGTTGTGCATATTTGTTTGTAAGATTATTAATTTTGTTAAGAAAGGTGAAATAGGGAAAAAGCCTGGGCGTAAATTAATATTTGGATAATTTTCTATGGCGTCACTCTATAATAATTATTTATGAGGTTATTTTCGTCTGAAAAACAGTTGCTTACATCATCATCACCTACATCTTGATATTATTATTATTGTTATTATTACTATTATTTGTTTTTATCATGTTTCCTGTTTTTTGTCCTGTAGAGCCGGGTCCAAACTATGGTTCTTAGGCCCTATAGGAGAATTGTCATTTAATTGATAGCACTTTCCTTAGTATATGGGATGTTCCTAGTAGGGGGATCATTTAGGCAACTTTTATGTTGATCTTACCTGGGATACTGTTAGTAAAACTGGCCATTCCTTTTCTCACGAGGCCCAGAGCTCCGATTACTATTGGTACAGTTTCAGTCTTCATTCTTCACATTCTATTAATCTCGATCTCCAGGTCCTTGTTTTTGATAATTTTGTCGATAATTTTCAAGCAGGTGTTTCTCTCAAATAGTAATGTCATGTCAATATGAATACACTTCCTGAATTTCTTGTCTTTTATGATGATATCCGGTCTGTTGGCATTTTTTTTCCCTGTCAGTTTGAATTAGCTTGTTCCAGAGGATAGTTACATCCTTATTTTATGTAAGTGTATCATGCCATCTCTCAGTGGTTTCGATTTTGTGCTCCTTGCGTAAATTTTACTGCACATATGTCGCTACCTTGTTTATGTCTGTGGTTATTTTCTTGTCAGTTCCACACATCTTGAGATAATAGGGTCGACAGTTTTGTCATATTTTCTGCAGATCCTGAATTTCGGGTTAGTTCCATTCTTGATTATGTGAGAGTGATAGGATCTTGTTTCAAGTCTTTGGTCCTGAGCTGCAATATTTAGGCCTTCTGTCTCAGCTTTCAGCCCGGTGCTCCTCAGCCACCGATGTGTTTTCTGTTGGTCCACATGTGCTTCTTTGGGTTTTTTTTTTTGTCATGCAAAACATTGTCCTCCCAGTTTTTTGTTTTTTTTTAATTTAATTTGGCCTAGTTCTTTTGCTTCGTGCTTTACTCTTTTGGCATAGATGGTATTCGTTTCGTTTTTTGTTCGTAGGATTTCAAATACATTAAACTGTTTCTTGAAGAGTGAAGCTTCTTTGTTGATGGAGTGGATTTGGTATTTTACTATTTGTAAGAGAGTTTCATTTATTTATTTTTTTTTCTTGAAGTAGGATTCTTCCAATTCGATTGTTATAGTTTTCAGATATGGATCAGACCTCAGCCTTCTAAAGATCTTAGTACTTACAGCCTATAAACATCTGATTTCTGGTAATGTGTCCTCATTTGGGTAAGCATATATATGCTTTTGATATCCAATCTTTTAAGGCCAGTCTAATTTACTAATGTTGAATCTGTATGTTACTACGTGTAGAGCTAAGCTGTTGATAGCCTTCATTTTATTGGTCCCATTTAGTTCGCTTTCTAGTATAAGACGCACTCACATATAATATTCTTTGCGGATCTTTTTCTTCATAATTGAATTTTGTATTGCGTCTCCTTCATTAATTCTTAAGTATTTGTATCCTTCTCTATTTTCCTGTTGTTGATATCAAGGTATGAATCCACAGTTTTCGTAAGGTTACCGACTTTGAAAATGGCTGTGGCACATTTGTCGATTCCAAACACCACCCTAACGTCTTCGCTGAAGAAATTGACAATGGTTAGGAGGATATTATTCTGGTTTTTATCTTTGGCAAACGTTTTAAGATTATCAATATAAAATAGTCTGCCATTCTGTGTATTGTATCCGTGGCGACTGTTGTTCATTAGGCAGTTGAGTGGCGCAAGGCAGAAGAGTAGTGGTAACAATAAATCTCTTTGGAAGATCCCACTTTTGATGTTGATTGGTCTCGATGTTAATGACCCGTTTGTATGGTTTAGGTTTAGTGTAGTCTTCCAGTTTTCCTTGCTTTCTGTTATGAATTTGTCTTTTGTGGGGTATACGCTGTATATTTTTAGGTTATTCTTTATCTATGAGTGTGGAACACTGTCGAACGTCTCTCTGTTGTCTATAAGTTTTCTTTTTTGTTAGATAGGTTTTTCTATTTAAAAATTGGCTATTTGATCTATTCCTGGTAATTTCCAGTTTTTTGGTTTTGCAGATGGCAGCGTTTGTTTCATTATATTGATATCCGCCCGTTTTAGGCACTCTATATGTGTGTGTTGTTTCTGTTGTTGCTTGATCCATGTAGCTCTTTCACTGTGTATTTTGCAGTTTTCCCACATCTTATACCAGAACTCCACAGCTTCCTGCATATTAGTTTGGTCATTTACTCCTATTTTATTTTTTCAAGTTCTCCATATAGTTTCTTGGCATCTTCTTTGAAGATCTTTTTTTTGCCAGAAGAATCTGTTTCTCTGTGCCTTCGCTTGAATTTGTTGTTTCATCTTCTCTTTAACGTTTGGTACATCAGTCTAATTCTTCATGTCAAGGCATCGTTTCAGTTGTCTCCTTTTTCTTTCTTTTATTTTGGAACCGTTGTCTGTTTCAGTTAGAAATGTCAATTGTCCTCGTAGTTTATTTATTTCAGTTTCTATTTTTAATTTCCATACTGGATGTTTTTTTCTTT